CTGGGGATTCGAACCCGCCACCTTAGGTGTACGTGGCTGGCGCTTTAGCCGGTTGAGCTATAGGCGCCGAGCCAGTTTTCCTATTTTTAATAGAGACGGGGTCTTGCTTTTGCTCAGGCTGGTCTCAAACTCATGAGCTCAAGCAAGCCACTCACCTTGGTCTCTCAGAGTATTGGGATTACAGGCGTGAGCCACTGCACCCGGCCTCATTTGTGTTTTTCTGGCAGAGAACTTCTTGCTTCTATATAGACTAAGAAAGTAGCCTTAGCTGGGTGTGAACTCCACTGATAACCAGTGTAATATTTGCTGTTCTAGGAGCCATGTGTGACCAGGACTGTGGGAATGTCATTTCCATGCTGGAGGCTCTTGTGAGGAGATGAGTTGGTGAAGAGAGAGGCCGGGATGAAGATGTTGCCAGGAGTGGGCGTGTTTGGGACTGGCAGCTCTGCCCGGGTTCTGGTCCCACTACTGAGGGCAGAAGGGTTCACGATAGAGGCCCTGTGGGGGAAGACTGAGGAGGAGGCAAAACAGCTTGCTGAGGAGATGAACATCACCTTCTATACCAGCCAGACGGATGACGTCTTGCTGCATCAAGACGTGGATCTGGTGTGCATCAATATCCCCCCTCCACTCACCCGGCAGATATCTGTGAAGGCTCTAGGTATGTACAGTAGGCTATGGCAGGGGCAGATTGTGTCCCTCTGGGCACTCCTCAGAGGGTCCTTGCTTTCCTCTGGGCTCATATCTGCAAATAGTACTACTCTGGGGTATCACTAGGGGTTCTTATACTCTGTGAGGAAGAAGGTTCAGTCTTCCCCTGTCACCTATTAGTAAATCCTTGAGCAGCAATTAAAAATATACTCTTAAGACTGCAGTCTCCAACCGTTGGGGCATGGACCGGTATTGGCCTGTGGCCTGCTAGGATCTGGGTTGCACAGCAGGAGGTGAGCAGTGGACGAGCAAGCATAGCTTCATCTATATTTATTCTTCATCACTGCCTAAGCTCTGCCTCCTGTCATAAACAGTGGCATTAGATTCTCATAGGAGCCAACCCTACTATAAACTGTGCATGTGAGGCATCTAGGTTGCATGCTTTTTATGAGAATCTGATGCCTGATGATCTGAGACAGAGATGCGATAGTTTAAATCATCCTGAAACTATCCCACCATCCATAGAAAAATTACCTTCCATGAAACTGATCCCTGGTGCCAAGAAGATTGGGGACCACTGCTCTAAGAGTTGGCTCTTCGGCTCGGCGCCTGTGGCTCAAGCGGCTAAGACACCAGCCACATACACCTAAGGTGGCGGGTTCAAATCCCCAGCCTGGGCCCGCCAAACAACAATGACGGCTGCAACCAAAAAATAGCCAGGCGTTTTGGCGGGCGCCTGTAGTCCCAGCTACTTGGGAGGCTGAGGCAGGAGACTTGCTTGAGCCCAGGAGTTGGAGGTTGCTGTGAGCGTGATGCCATGGCATGCTACCCAGGGGGATAGCTTGAGGCTCCGTCTCAAAAAAAAAAAAAAAAAAGTTGGCTCTTCAAGGGCCCAGAAATGGTTACATTTCAGACAATGTAAAGTTTGTCTCTGTGAAGTCAGATTTCAGAGACCTGGACCTTGGGGAATGGATTGTGATTGACATGTTTGTTCTTATACTGCTGTGGCATGCAGCACCACAGGAAGGAGAGGCTATGTGGCAAGGCTGCCATTTCCCATGTTTTGTTAGCCCTTGATTATAGTGAGCACACACCCTTCCTGCCTAACTGCAATCTTACATTGCCAGAGGGCAGGAAGGCTAGGGCTGCTCTAGGATTCCCTGACAAGATCCATGGACAGCTTGCTCACATGGACAGCTTCTCCACTTCCTTGGGAAACTGTGGGCTCAGAGACCTGCCCTTGGCTGGGCATGGGTTGCTGAGCTGTTCTCCTGCAGTTCCTGTTGGGCTTCTCTCTCATATCAATTGTAGACAAATAATTCTTCTCTTTATCTTATACAAATCAAAACCTGTTTTCATAGGTAACCTAGTAAATATTCATTCAGCAATTTTTTTTTCTTTTTTGAGACAGTCTCAAGCTGTCACCTTAAGTAGAGTGCCATTTGTCACAGCTCACAGCAACCTCAAACTCCGGGGCTCAAGTGATCCTCTTGCCTTAGCCTCCCAAGTAGTTGGGACTACAGGTGCCCACCACAATACTCAGCTATTTTTTGGTTGCAGTTATTGTTTTAGCAGGCCCAGGCCGGGTTCAAACCTGCCAGCCTCGGTGTATATGGCCATTGCCCTACCCACTGAGCAGTAACCTGAAACTCTTGAGCTTAAGCAATTTTCTTGCCTCAGTCTCTCAGTAGCTGGAATTATACATACTAGCCACAATGCTTGGCTAAGCTTGGCTAATTTTTAAATTTTTTGTAGAGATGGGCTCTCACTATTATTCAGGTTTATCTCAAACTCCTAGTCTCAAGCAGTCCTCCCAGTACATTCTCCTAAAGTACCATGTTCTGTTTTTTTGTTTTTTTGTTTTTTTTTT